GTGTCCCTGCCTCCTCAGGAGGGCCGTGTGGTGCTCCATCTCTGCCTTCAGGGCATATAATTGGGGTGACACCTAACCCAAGTGTCGGTCACCAACAACAGCAGGGTCGGTCACCAACAACAGCAGTGGCCACCACCATACCTGATTCTTCACCAGAAGTGTCAGCTCCTTCCTAAGCTCGGACCGAACCTGGATCCCTTACAGCAGGGGCTCTTCCTGCTATAACCCCACCTCTCCTGGGTTCCCAGCCATCTGATTCCACACCGTCTGTTCTGCCTCGCTATTTCACTTCTCTCCAGAGACCCATACCTCCTCCCTAATTATTATAAGATGTAATTGCTGTGCATCTGCTTGTGGCTTGAGGATGCACAAGAAACGGCACCCCTCTTCTCCCTTGACATTTGGAACCATTTGAGAGCGAGGATACAAGAGACAGACTAATGCGATCAAAATGTCAGTTTTATTACTGATAAAGCCTCTTGGAAAGAGTGGCTTTAGATCTGTAATAAAAAGGGTTTGCAAAGACATCATTCAAAATTAAGCTTACCCTGAGCATTGGATCTGAAGAGCCACAGCTCTCCTGCAGAGAGGCCCTCAGCACACTGCAGAGAACCGCCAGCTTACTCCCCGGCAGGACCCAGGTTCTGCTCCTAAATCACCCACAGAAGGATTCTACAGTGACAGAGTGTGAGTGAGGAGACAGAGGGCCCGTGCAGCTCCTGAGCAAACGGGAAGAGGGCGGTGTACGCAGCCTTTATGTGTCTGTGCGAACCCCGCTTATGTGGGTCTGTACACGCCAGGCCCAGCTCAGAATCTTGACCTAGAATTTTGATTGAGTCAATGTCAGCCCCCGACATTGCTGCGGCCCCTGCCTTCCTGGGAAGAATGCAGCTTTTTCTCTCTCAGCTTCCCTCTGTCAGATGCCCCAGCTCCTCTGCCTGACCGCTAAGTCCCTGTGGCTCCATCTAAGGGCCTTTCACTGTCTCGCCCTCCTCTCGTGTTCACGTCCATCCCCAGTGTTTCACAGACCATTTACTGCCAGGTGTGGTGGTGCCGACCTTCAATCTCAGCACTCAGAAGGTAGAGGTGGGAAGTCCAGGGTCTTCTCAAGCTACGCGGTGAGTCGGAGACCAGCCTGGGCTATGGGAGACCTTCCTTAAAAGCATAGATACATGGGATCATGTATGAAAAACAGAAACAAACCATCGGTTCTGTGCTGTGATGCCCAGAATTGTGTCAGGGGTCAGCCCCTCCTGCAAACTGCACCCCTCGGGGCAGGACAGGCAACAACCCGTTCAAAGCTGCCCTTACTTTTTGCTGTTGTTTTGAGGTGTTGTGCTTTATGTTGATTTGAGGGTTTGTTTTTGTCTCTTTTGGGGTGGGGTCTCATTTTGTAACCCAGGCTAGTCTGGAACTCGCTGTGAAGCTCAAGCTGACCTTGAACTCCTGGTGGTCCTATTGCTTCTGCTTCCCAAGTGCTGGGATCACAGGCTGAGCTACAGTGCCCCCTTAAATTACAGGCTGGGCCCCAATGCCACCTTAAAACTGCTGTTATAATTCCTTCAGAGAAACTGCCCTTCCTCTCAGCAAATGGCCCCTTGTCCACCCAGGTCCCCAGCCCTCAGTACATCAGTACTCCTCCTTATTCCTACTGGGGCTGAATGGATTCGTCTGCAAACCCTCACCTCTCACTGCTGGACCCGCCCTTCCTCTCCCCGCTCCTTTTACTCATCCTCCTCTTGACCACCAGCTTTTCTGACCCGTGCAGCAGAACCAGTGCAGATCTCCCTGATTCTCCTTGTTCTTCCGCCATTCATTTGCGGGGGGTGGGGAGGGGGTCTTGCTGTATGGCCCTGGTTGTCCCCTTTACTTCCAATCTGTCCAGAATGCACCATCCCTGCTCCTCAAAAGGAACCATTTTCATAACCACAACAGTTTCAGTGTGGAGAACAGACCCCTCGGCTACAGTGCACATCCATTTTAAGACCGGAAGACACCAGACGATCAGAGAGTCTGTGCCTTCTTGTTGTTGTTCTTTTTTAGACAGGATCTCTCTGTGTAGCCCTGGCTGTCCTGGGATTTACTCTGTAGACCAGGCTGGCCTCGAACTCAGAGAGCCACCTGCTCTGCCTCCCCAGTGCTGGATTTAAAGGTGTGCGCCACCGCTGCCCAGCTTGAGAGCTCATGTTTTTTAAGGAAAAGAATACAACATTAGAAATAAAAGCCGGAAGAAATCTTTATCACCGTCCCAGTGCAGAGGCAGCCGATCACTGAGTTTAGAGCCAGCTGGTCTACAGAGAAACTCTGTCTCAGAAAACAGAGGAGGAGGGGAAGAGGGAGCTGGCAAACAGCAAATAATCGTCACTGTGGATATTCGGGCCTTCTGGGATACCTGCAGGCCGTCTACCTGAATATTTATGTCCGTCCCTCCTCTTGCTGCTTGGCTGCCCCTCCTCGCTTGCAATACTGTCTCTTCAGTGGCTCTCTGTTCTAAGACAGAGAAATTAAATGACTGTGAGTGTCATTGACCCATGAACCTAGAGCAATAAAAAAGAATCTACGTGTCCTGCGCTGGTCTAGCAAACCTTTTACAGTTAACATTTACGTAGTGCCCGTCGGTGCCAGCCAAGCCAGCACATTGGCACAGGCATGGTAACAACCACTTTCTGGTTCCCTCATGAAGAATGTGCCGCTATTCTCAAGGCAACGTGAATGCTTCCTCGGGATTCCAAGTCCAGACAGCCACAGGAGGCCAGGCTCTGCAAACCTGCTAATTCAGCCTCTGTAGACTTGGGGCTCCCCCATCCGGCCCCCAGCTCATGCTCCTCAGAGCAAAGGCCGAACAAACTCAGCTCCTCCCTGGGGAGTCACTTAATGTCTCAGCTCCTCAGGGAGCCTGCAAACACCTGTGCGTGGTCACCACGACAGACAGGTCTGTCCTGATGGTGCTGAGGATCCCTGGGGAAGCATCCAAGTTACATGACAGCTTGTTTTGTTTTGTTTGTGAGGAAAAGGCAGCGATGAAGGCTCTCCTAATGAGGTGACTTTCCCCCATCTATTACAGAATTCTGAACTGTTACATGTTAGTGTTTGGGACTACCTGACCAGTCCTAACGTGAGCCCTTGCATCCTCACACACAGCTGCACGGACATGGTTCTCGCTGGGTTTGGGCAGCAGAGTTTCAGCTTAGAGACTGGACTCCCAAATACTTTGGTTAAAGTCACTGGTGCCGTAGATGCCATCCATGTTTCCTTTCAACTCTTTTTCTACTGACTCCAGAGTGGTCCAGGACTCAAGTTGATGGACAGTTCAGAGTTGCCTCGAGGGCTGAGTTTGGTCGGGGAGGAATGTGCCCACCAGCTGCTGGTGGTTTACCCAGCACAGAGCTGCAGAGATATATTTCCCCGGCCCTCCACCCGTCTCAGCTGACATGACACACAACACACATGTCTGCCCACACCGGTTCACTTTAACCAGCTCCTGCCACCCAGAACAGCCCACCCTGCTCTGTCCAGATGCTCCAGCAGATGGAGGTGGCGCTCAGGCCCTACGTCATGCACTCATCACCAGGCATGGCCGATGTGGGGCACGGGTCACCAAATCTCCTCCGGAGGGCTTGTCAGCAGGATGGCACTGGTGCCTGCATCCGTCTTACCTGTGGGTCAGCCTGGCACAAAGCAGTGAATGTAAGGCCACGTCTGTCCTCTTCATGGGACACACACCCATAGCCACATTCTCGCCACGTACTAATCAGGGTGATGAAACAGGAACAGAAAATAAATGATCAAAAATAAAAGTATAAGATGCTTTAAGGAAGGGACTAAGTTGCCTGACCTGGAGGAACTCCTTCACTGGCTGCTC